GATTGCAGCGCACGTACACGCACGTGTATACATGTGCATCGTGACCATACCTTCTAGTAGAAGTTCATTATATCTATCTATGTTCCAAATCCCATCCTGTTTGGTTGAAAATCAAGGGAGTTATAGCTATTTAAAGTTTCAGCCAATCAGTTTGCAGCGTACGTGCATGCACGTGTTTTCATGATAATTGCTATATATCCTGTTGTAGGAAATCTTAATTCATGGCTATGTTCAAAATTTCAAAGGATTTCGTCAAAAAACAAGAAAGATATAGAGACCTTAGTTTCATCCAATCAGAGCGAAGCGCACGTGCATGAGCGTGAGATCTTGCTATTTTGATCATGTCATATTGTCTATGCCACAAATATATCATATATTAAGAGTTTCAAAGCATTTCATCAAAAATGTGAAAAGTTATGCCTATATCAATTAAATCGGTCATTTCAAGTGTTGCACGTGCGCGCTCTTGCAAGCACGTGCGCGCAAAATGACCTTTGTTCGGCAAATCTACATAACATGTCTACTGACCCTAAAAACATTTTACCTTAGTCAGATGTGTAGTTTACAAGATCACTCAAGTACAAAATTTTCCCAGGAAGAAAAATAATAATAATAATAACTAGTGCTAATTGTAACGGGGACCGTTACAGATGTTCCCCAAACGCTCCCCAACTCCCTTTCATAGTCATATTCCCTGTAAGTGTAATTAAATAAGACAAACTCTATGCATTTGATACAACGTTTACCCAGAAGTGTACCATTTTCATTCAAATTTTATCATTGCACACTTGCGCATGTGAATGCATGTGCGTAATGACAATATCATATTGTCTACACAATCTATGTATTTTAATATGCTAAAGATAAAAGTATTTAATCCAAAAGTATAAAAAAAAAAACGCTCATTTAAGTGTATTTTTGATTTTACCCATTTCACGCGCACGCACGTGCATACATGAGCATGGTGACGATACCTTCTTGTAGAAGTCTATTACATCTATCTATGTTCTAAATCCCATCCCGTTTGGTTGAAAACCAAGGGAGTTATAGCTGTTTAAAGTTTCAGCAAATCAGATTGCAGCGCACATACACGCACGTGTATGCATGTGCATGGTGACCATACCTTCTAGTAGAAGTTCATTATATCTATCTATGTGCCAAATCCCATCCTGTTTGGTTGAAAACCAAGGGAGTTATAGCTATTTAAAGTTTCAGCCAATCAGATTGCAGCGCACGTGCATGCACGTGTTTTCATGATAATTGCTATATATCCTGTTGTAGGAAATCTTAATTCATGGCTATGTTCAAAATTTCAAAGGATTTCGTCAAAAAACAAGAAAGATATAGAGACTTTAGTTTCAGCCAATCAGAGCGAAGCGCACGTGCATGCGCGTGAGATCTTGCTATTTTGACCATGTCATATTGTCTATGCCACACATATATCCTTATAATATGAGTTTCAAAGCATTTCATCAAAAATGTGAAAAGTTATGCCTATATCAATTAAATCGGTCATTTCAAGTGTTGCACGTGCGCGCTCTTGCAAGCACGTGCGCGCAAAATGACCTTTGTTCGGCAAATCTACATAACATGTCTACTAACCCTAAAAACATTTTACCTTAGTCAGATGTGTAGTTTACAAGATCACTCAAGTACAAAATTTTCCCAGGAAGAAAAATAATAATAATAATAATAAGAAACAGAGTAAAAACAATATGTTCCCCAACTTCGTTTGGGGAACATAATAAGAAGAAACAGAGTAAAAACAATATGTTCCCCAACTTCGTTTGGGGAACATAATAAGACTAAAACTGCAGGAGGGTAGCATTTTGAGAGTATTTTACAGAAATTTCTATTTTTAGTAGCCACAGCAACACCGTTCATCGAAATCAGAATCTGATTCACAAAATTATATATCTTTTGGTAGTCTACTCGTTTGCCAAGTTATATTGACATCAGACCAAAACTACGAGGAGTAGCATTTTGAAAGTTTTTCAAAGAAATTTCTATTTTAGGTAACCACGGCAACACTTTCCATCGAAATTAAAAACCGATACACAGAATTATGTATCTTAATGTAGTCTACTTGTGTGCCAAGTTACATTGAAATCAGACCAAAACTACGAGGAGTAGCATTTTGAAAGTTTTTCAAAGAAATTTCTATTTTAGGTAACCACGGCAACACCGTTCATTGAAATTAAAAACCGATATACAGAATTATGTATCTTAATGTAGTCTACTTGCGTGCCAAGTTAAATTGAAATAAGATGAAAACTGTAGGAGGAGTAGCATTTTGAAAGTTTTTCCAAGATATTTCTATATTTAGTAACCACAGCAACACTGTTCATCGAAATCAAAAACCGATACACAGAAGTATGTATCTTTATAGTGTAGTCTACTTGTGTTTGTTAAGTTATATTGTAATCAGACCAAAACTGTAGGAGGAGAAGCATTTTGAGTTTTTCAAAGAATTTAATATTTTTAGTAACCATGGCAACATCGTTCATCGAAATCAAAAAGCGATAAGCAGGATTAAGTATCTTAGTGTAGTCTATTTGTTTGCCAAGTTATATTGAAATCAGACCAAAACTGTAGGAGGAGTAGCATTTTGAAAAATTGTTTACAGACAGACAGACGGACGCCGGACACATTACCATCGCATAAGCTCTTCTGGTCTCTGACCAGTAGAGCTAAAAACCAACAACATTGAACCCGGAGTTTGTCCTACCTTTAAAAACGTTAATCTTGGTCATACACTTTGAACAGGTGGTGCTAGTTTTTTTTTATTTCACATTTGTATTTCCTGTGAAAAGGTCTTGCTTTACGTACAAACATCTTTGATCTGCATTTGAGAAAGCTTAACCTTCGCTATGTTGCCATACGGGGTCATCTGAGTTTCACACAGTTCACGGTAGCTCAGTCGCTTCGTGATCGGGAGGTCGTGAGTTCGTATCTCGGCTGCGACCGACCTAAGTCGATAAAAAATGGGAAGCAACTGTTCCTTCGCCATGCGCTCGGCACTCGAAGTGCGGGTCCTTCGGGGGAGACCTTAAAAACTGGGGTCCCATGTCACGGCAGGCGTTGGCTTGATAAAGATCCCTCACTGCTCAATGGCCCTGAGTGCCGAGTAAAGGTCAAAATTTGAAGCCCTTCACCTGCATACGGTGACGTCTCCATATGAGTGAAAAATTCTCGAGAGGGACGTTAAACAACATACAAACAATCAATCTGTGTTTCACAAACACATCTTGTTTCCCTAGCCAGTCTGCTCAGCTGAGCGATGTGGCCTATATGAGTCTTGTTAGTTGTAGTTAAAGAACAGTCATGCTATACAGAATTCGTTACTGCTAATGTCCACGGTTTGTTTTGTCATATTTTTATGCTCCTGTAATCGAAGATTTGTGGAGGGGGTGTATAGTTTTTGTCGTGTCCGTCTGTCTGTCCGCAAAAACTTTAACCTTGCCCACAACTATTGATTGAGTGGAACTATGACTTTCATATTTTACATGTGTATTCCCTGCGACAAGACCTTTCTTTGAGTACTACCAGATCTGACTTTTTGACCCTGACTTTGGTGTTTGACCCACTTTACCACAAAATTTCCAAACTTTTACTTTGGCCATAAATTTTGAATGGTAGATACTAGGACTGTCATATTTCACATTATATATTTTTTTGTGACTAGACTTTTCATTGGATACATGTACCAAAAACCTTGTCCTTCTGACTTTGACCTTTGAGATTTCCATACTTATCAAAAAACCTTGGCCATAACTTTTGAATTTGATTGGTTACCGCTAGGAGTTTCATACTTTACATATGTATCTTTGTGAGAAGATATTTCATTGGATATCAAGAACGTTGACCTTGACCTTAGAGTTTGACCTACTTTTTTAAAACTTTAAACTTGGCCATAACTTTTGAAAAATTAGGACTAGGGCTTTCATGCTTCACATATGTAATACTTGTGACAAGACCTAACTTTGACTCTTTGACCTTGGAGTTTGACCTACTTTTCAAAAACTTCTCCTTCGTCATAACTTTTGAACGATTGGTGCTAGGCCTTTCAATTTTTACCATCGTATTTCTTGTGAGAGGACCCAACTTTGGGTACTTATATTTTTAATTTGCATTTAAGAAATTAAGTTAACTTTATTCTATTCTTGCTATGTTGCTATAAGAGGCATCAGTGTTTCACAAACACATCTTGTTTTACGATTGGAAACCTTGAAAAATAAAGTCGTACGAAAATTGGATCATCAGAAATTATCTCCCTTGCCTTAAACATCTTTTCAACTTCAACCTAAAACCTAAACCTCGATGGTGTGCCATAGTGAATTACGTGGCCCTATCCGGAATCAATATTGTCCAACTCCATACCTATATTTAAAAAAGACTGGAAGTCAACATTATGGAATCCAGAGAGGACCATATAAATTAATATCGCATCATCACTCCATCGAGGTTTGATCGATAATGTAATAATACGATAGTTCAAAAACGCTGAAGCGATGGTGCAAAAACGATTAAGTGATACTACGATGGAACAAGAATGCGATGACGATGGTGCGATAGCACGATGAAGTGGTAGTGCGGTTGCGATGACACAATTGTGCGATGACTGAAGCGATATTCACTATCTTTCTTACTATCGCACCATCGTTATCGAATTGTCGCGCTATCGCACCATAGCTCCATCGTCATTGCACCAACGCCTCATCGTTATCGTGCCATCGCATTATCGCACAATCGACCTTTTAGTCGATGCTGCAATAGTGAACTGTATGGCCCTATCCGGATTCCATAACAAATATATAACGGAGTTTGTACTTTTTCATTTATTTCTTGTAAGATTACCAAAATCGATTTGATTGTCTGAAGAGATAGGTGCGTTGTTGTACTATTGGTTTTTATTCTGTTTTATATTTAACTCATACTGGGCTAAGACATAGTATACAGAACTTAAAATAGTATCTTTTGTTTTTAGAGATCAAGTCAGAATGGAGAAGCAAATCCTACAGGCGTTGCTTGTGGGACTCTGTTATGTTTTTGTTTATTGTAAGTAAATACACTGTATCAACTTTAACAATACAAATTTGTTTTCGAATATCCTACATGTAATTCATCTAACTAGGACTCATCGGCAATAATTTGTTTTTTGTAGCTGTAGACCCACCAGACAATATTGGTAAGGAATACGTACTCATGTTTATGGAAAACTATAAATTGGAGAAAAACAGGAATTTCCCGCTAGAACTCTACATTAGTACTTCAGAAAAAACTATAGCACATGTTAACATTAAATCCCCTATATCGTCCAATCCATACGTAGATCAAAACATAACAGTTCAACCAGGCATGGTACAACGCGTAAATATCAGCGAGGCCTTCCGAGTACTTGGAAACTCAATATCTTCGAAAGGGTTGCTGATAAAATCAGATCAAAATATAGCCGTGTATGGAGCAAACAAAGATACCTTGTCAAACGACGTTTATTGTGCCATCCCTGTAGATGCATTGGGTACTGAGTATTATGCGGCTTGTTATGGCCCAGCACTTAAGAAAACGGAACTTGGAGTTGCTGCTACCGAGCACAGTACATCTGTAACGGTAACGCTTCCAACGAGAAACAAGACTTTAAGTGTAAATTATGGCGGTAAGATTTACAAAGCAGGCGATTCAATTACAATTAAATTAGATAAGTATCAGACTCTTCAATTACAAAGTAACTCAGACTTGACGGGTGCTCATATCGTCTGTAACAAACCTGTCGCTGCATTCAGTGGGAACATCAAGACAAATATTGGTGTTGGAATTACTGCTGACCATTTAGTAGAACAGTTAACCCCAGTTGATACGTGGGGTAAAAGATTTGTTACAGCCCCTATTCCTAAAAGAACTACGGGCGATTATTTCCGAATCATTGCTGCTGAAGACAACACTGAAATACAAATTTCAGGAATGCCCAAAGTAAAAATTGAAAAGGCCGGTGAATGGAAGCAAGTTACAATTCCATCTGAGGATCACAAACTTATCACTTCCAACAAGCCAATCATGTTGACCCAATACGTGACGAGTCAACAAAATGACTCTGAACCCGCGGACCCATCCATGATGATAATACCTCCTTACGAGCTTTTCGGGGCAAAATACACATTTTCAACACCTCAATACTCACGACCAGATTATGGCGCAGGATATGCTTATGACCATGAGTTCATAGTCATCGTTAAGGATACAGACCGTAAAACATTATTATTAGATGACAAACCCTTTCCATCAAACACGCATTGGAAGCCAATTCCTGGCACTGATCTAGTGGGGGGCTACGTGACATTGACTTCAGGTTCGCATACTGTACGGAACACTGATCCAACAGCACTTATTGGTGGATATTTGTATGGACACGCTTTTCATGAGTCATATGGATTTCCCACTGGAATGCGATTGGCTAAAATTAATGCTGTAAGTTGATTTGACACTGAAATAGGAAGTTGTAAATTGTAGTATCTCACATTAATTCCTTTTTTCAAGTGATTATTTCGTAACGCTTGGAAATCCCTCTCTTAAGGAAGGATTCAATTTTAACCCATTTCTTAAAAAGTACTGGAGAAAAAAGAATATTACTATATTGACAACAATGAATGATCCCTGTAAGAAAAATGATAAGTTTTGGCATGTTTGCATCATATTTTGTGAAAAAATCAGAGAATCCTACATATTGGTCACTTGGGGGCTTACATTTTGGAATGTGTTTACGCTATCGAACTGCAAGAAACAAGCATGTATCAGCCTGTTATAAAATGCAGTGTACCTTACGTTCCATAAATAGTAGAGGGCTGATATTTGGACACATATATAAAGACTCAAAATTTGTAGCAATTCGCTTTATGTTTCAATGTTACGTCGCCTCTGTGGAACAGACAAAAAAAATGGACAATCTAAAAGTAAGAAATTCGTAACGACGATTTAATGGGTTTTCATTTAAAGAATCGCTTTGGTGTTTTAATATTATAGCACTGCAGCAGAACAATATAAAAGATATATTTTTTCATCTCCTATATACATGTGTAAATGTGTTCGGAACCTTTTATTAGGTCACCTGAGTAACTATCCGTTTTCGTCCGTCGTCGTCCGTCGTGTGTTGACATTTGAATATTTTCAGCTTCTTCTCATAAACCACTGAACCAATTTCAACCAAATTTGGTATACAGCATCTATAGGTGATGGGAAATATAAATTGTGAATTTCATGTTCCCTGCCCCCTGGGGCCTTGGGTCGGGGCCAAAACCACTAAAATTATTGTAATCTTTAAAAATCTTCTTTACTCCGGGACATCAAGCTGGCAAACTGTTGGCATGAATGTTTTGAGCATTGAGTCCTCTACCAAAATTGTGAAATTCATGGCCCCAGGGTCAGGGGCTCTAGTGCTAGGGCGGGGCTAAAAAGATTATATAGTGAAAATGCATTATTTCTTTAAAAATCTTCTCTGCTCCTGGGTATCAAATAAACTAACTTAGTACATAGTTATGATGAACAAGAGTGCCTCTTCCAAAATTGTGAATTTTATGGCCCCAGGGTCAGGGGTTCTAGTGCTAGGAAGGGGCTATATAGATTATTTAGTGAAAATGCATTATTTATTTGAAAATCTTCTTTTCTGCTCCTGGGTATTAAATAAACTAAGTACATAGTTATGATGAACAAGAGCGCCTCTTTCAAAATTGTGAATTTTATGGCCCCAGGGTCAGGGGTTCTGGTGTTAGGGCGGGGCTCTATTGATAGTAAAAATGCATATATTCTGAGAAAATCTTCTTCTCTGCTCCTATGTATAAAGTAAACTAAGTACATAGTTATGATTAGCAAGAGTGCCTCTTCCAGTATTGTGAATTTTATGACCCCAGGTTCAGGGGTTCTGGTGTTAGGGCGGGGCTCTATTGATTATATAGTGAAAATGCATTTATTCTTTGAAAATCTTCTTCTCTGCTTCTGGGTATTAAATTAACTAACTAAGAATATAGTTATGATGAACAAGAGTGCTTCTTCCAAAATTGTGAATTTTATGGCCCAGGGTCAGGGGTTCTCGTGTTAGGGCGGGGCTTTATTGATTATATAGTGAAAATACATTAATTCTTTGAAAATCTTTTCCTTTGATCCTGGGTTTTATGCCAATGATCCAAGTATATATATATTTATGACGAAGAAAGGTGCATCTAGGAAAATGGTTATTTTTTATGCCCACTTGGTCAAGGGGGGGGGGTACATAGTCTGAAAATAAATTAATGCTTTGAAATCTGCTCTTTGGTATTAATCAACCATTTTATGATAAAAGTTGCAAAATTTTGAAATATGTGGCCCAGGGTCAGTGATTCCTTTGGGGAGAGGTGCAAAACTGGATAAAAAGTGGAAATCCATATCCTTCTTGTTACTCTGATCTACCTCTGGGTATTAAGTAAATAGAGTAAGCATGGTAAGTTTATAATTATGATAAGCAATGGTGCCTCTTTCAAAATTGTGAATTGGGAATTTCATGGCCTCTGGTTTAAAACACGAACCAAAGTTAATTGTTTGAAAGTTGTAAATCAATACTCAGGTGACCTATAAGGCCCGTGGGCCTCTTCTTTATCGAGGAGTTTGCAGCAGCTATTAAAATTTAAGATTTTAATAGACTACAGCGAGACTGCTTACGGACAGTATAAATTACTAGTGTATAGCGGGGAGGCTTTAGCGGGAAGTTAACTCTCATTGTCCCCCGCTTTCGCGAAAGCGAGGGGACATTAGATCTCATTGGTTTGTCAGTCAGTCTGTCCGTCACAAAAACTTTAACCTTGCCCATAACATTTGATTAGTGGAGCTATGATTTTCATATTTCACATGTGTATTCCATGTGACAAGACCTTTCGTTGGGTGTCACCAAATTTGACTTTTTGTTCTTGACCTTGGAGTTTGACCCACTTTTATACAAAAATTCCAAACTTTTACTTTGGTCATATCTTTTCAATGGTAGATACTAGGACTTTCATATTTTACATATGTATTCTTTGTGGCAAGACATTTAATTGGATACCAACAACCTTGACCTTTTGACCTTGATCTTGGAGATTTACATACTTATGAAAAAACTAACCTTGACTATATCTTTTGAACGGCTATGGCTTTCGAATTCGAACTTCACATATGTAGTCCTTGTGAGAAGACCTTTCATTGGATACCAAGAACTTTTACTCTTTGACCTTGACCTTGGAGTTTTTACTACTTTAAAAAAAACTTTAACCTTGGTCACAACTTTTAAACAGTGGATACATGTACTAGGACTTTTATATTTAACATATCATGTATTCTTTGTGGCAAGACCTTTCAATGGATACCAACAACTTTGACCTTTTGATCTTGACCTTGGAGATTTCCGTACTTATGAAAAAACTTTTACCTTAACCTTAACTTTTGAACGGTGAGGGCTAGGTCTTTCATACCTCACATATGTAATCCTTGTGTGAAGACCTTCCATTGGATACCAAGGACTTTTACCCTTTGACCTTGACCTTGGAGTTTTAACTACTTTTTAAAAGCTTTAACCTTCGTCACAACTTTTGAACGGTAGATACCAGGACTTTCATATTTCACATATGAATTCTTTGTGGCAAGTCCTTCATTGGATACCATAAACTTTGACCTTTTGACCTTGGAGATTTACGTACATATGAAAAAATTCTAACCTTGGTCATAACTTTTGAACGGTAAGGCTATGGCTTTCATACTGCACATATGTAATCCTTGTGAGAAGACCTTTCATTGGATATCAACAACTTTGACCATTTGATCTTGACCCTGGAGTTGACCTACTTTCAAAAAACTTTAACTTTGGCCATAACTTTTTCACGGTTAGATTTAGGGTTTTCATCCTTCACATATGTATTACTTTTGACAAGACCTTTCTTAAGAAACCAACAATTCAGACCCTTTCACGTTGGAGTTTGACCTACCTTTCAAAAATTTATCCTCGACTATAACTTTTGAACAGGTGGTGCTAGGGATTTTGTATTTGACAATCATATTTCCTGTGAGAAAAACCCTACTCTGGGTAATAATATATTTAATTTGCAATAAAAAAATTCTAATCTTCATTAAGTTGCCATTCGGGGTCATAGTACATAGTTATGATGAACAAGAGCGCCTCTTTCAAAATTGTGAATTTTATGGCCCCAGGGTCAGGGGTTCTGGTGTTAGGGCGGGGCTCTATTGATAGTAAAAATGCATATATTCTGAGAAAATCTTCTTCTCTGCTCCTATGTATAAAGTAAACTAAGTACATAGTTATGATTAGCAAGAGTGCCTCTTCCAGTATTGTGAATTTTATGACCCCAGGTTCAGGGGTTCTGGTGTTAGGGCGGGGCTCTATTGATTATATAGTGAAAATGCATTTATTCTTTGAAAATCTTCTTCTCTGCTTCTGGGTATTAAATTAACTAACTAAGAATATAGTTATGATGAACAAGAGTGCTTCTTCCAAAATTGTGAATTTTATGGCCCAGGGTCAGGGGTTCTGGTGTTAGGGCGGGGCTCTATTGATTATATAGTTAAAATACATTAATTCTTTGAAAATCTTTTCCTTTGATCCTGGGTTTTATGCCAATGATCCAAGTATATATATTTATGACGAAGAAAGGTGCATCTAGCAAAATGGTTATTTTTTTATGCCTCCCTGGGTCGGGGGGGGGGGGGTACATAGTCTGAAAATAAATTAATGCTTTGAAATCTGCTCTTTGGTATTAATCAACCATTTTATGATAAAAGTTGCAAAATTTTGAAATATGTGGCCCAGGGTCAGTGATTCCTTTGGGGAGAGGTGCAAAACTGGATAAAAAGTGGAAATCCATATCCTTCTTGTTACTCTGATCTACCTCTGGGTATTAAGTAAATAGAGTAAGCATGGTAAGTTTATAATTATGATAAGCAATGGTGCCTCTTTCAAAATTGTGAATTGGGAATTTCATGGCCTCTGGTTTAAAACACGAACCAAAGTTAATTGTTTGAAAGTTGTAAATCAATACTCAGGTGACCTATAAGGCCCGTGGGCCTCTTCTTTATCGAGGAGTTTGCAGCAGCTATTAAAATTTAAGATTTTAATAGACTACAGCGAGACTGCTTACGGACAGTATAAATTACTAGTGTATAGCGGGGAGGCTTTAGCGGGAAGTTAACTCTCATTGTCCCCCGCTTTCGCGAAAGCGAGGGGACATTAGATCTCATTGGTTTGTCAGTCAGTCTGTCCGTCACAAAAACTTTAACCTTGCCCATAACATTTGATTAGTGGAGCTATGATTTTCATATTTCACATGTGTATTCCATGTGACAAGACCTTTCGTTGGGTGTCACCAAATTTGACTTTTTGTTCTTGACCTTGGAGTTTGACCCACTTTTATACAAAAATTCCAAACTTTTACTTTGGTCATATCTTTTCAATGGTAGATACTAGG